CTGTGCGTCAGGTAGTGCTGAGTATCAGGTAGTACTGAGCATCAGGTAGTGCTGTGCATCAGGTAGCACTGAGCATCAGGTAGCACTGTGCATCAGGTAGCGCTGAGCATCAGTTAGCACTGTGCATCAGGTAGTACTAAGCATCAGTAGCACTGTGTGTCAGGTAGTGCTGAGTATCAGGTAGTACTGAGCATCAGGTAGTACTGAGCATCAGATAGCACTGTGCATCAGTGCTGTGCATCAGGTGGTACTGAGCATCAGGTAGTGCTGTACATCAGCTGTGCAGCACTTAATCCCACAATTTTCTTTAGCTTTTCTTCAACTTTCAAGCTTTTTTTTTCTTCAACTTACTTCAGTTTTCCTTTAGCAAATAGTTAAGTGAAATTTTAGGGGAAAAAGTGACAGTATTAAAAATTGCAATTCTAAAGTTGAGTTGTGTTAGAAACTTACGTAAACAGTGCTTTTTTATCTGTGAGAATGTAACCAGTGCATTAAACAAACAAACAAAAAAGGAAACAGTTCAATACAATTTAAATGATGTTTTTTTCCTTCAAGCAGATGATAAACCATCACATCTGTGGGATTGTAGGCATCTGTGAATACACGGGCGAGCTGAAAGTTCAGATAATTCATACTCCAGGCAGAGAAAGTAATTTGATGTTTAATTCTGCTCTCCGCTTTGATGACTACTCTTATTGAATATAAGAAAATGCATTTGAAAATACAGTCATTTATTTATGTAGTCATGAGAACTGACCTCCAGCGTGAAAGCACATTATTAATCCCTTTTCACTCCTCTGGGCCTCTCTCTTCTTATTTTTAAATAAGGATTTTAAATAAGGATTGTCTGGAGGCTTACATGAAGAAACATAAGGAAAATTACCCCAAAAATCAAAATATCCCACAAAATGGTGCCATTATTCCTTTAAAAAATTAATTGCATTTGATTGCCTTGTGTTTAAAATTCAGTCAGAAGGGAGGAGTTGTGGTTTACTAAATAGGTTATCTAAAGTTCTGAGCATGTCACTTGAATAGTCAAATCCCAAAGCATATAAAGAGGGCAAAAAAAAATTCTTGGGAAAGATGTTATG